TGAGTCTATACTCTGATGCCATACTATCAGTGCAGGACAATTTTTAACTGCATGAATGCACACTGCAGAGCAAGAGAAATTTAATGATGATCATTTACCTTTTGGAAATTATGGCCACATACTTTTTGTATGTTGATTTACAAATAGCTTGGCTAAAAAGTGGTTCAGTAAATCAACTTCTTAAAACAGGCTATGAAGGAAAAGTGCCTGATGAAGCCAGCAGTAAACAAAGAAATTACACAACTTGGTAAGACAGGATGTGGATGTGGAGGGAGTTGCTAAAGGTTTGGAATCATTGGAAAGTTCAGTGATGACAGTTACTTGGTACAGCTGACTGTCCCTCAGGCAAACAACTAAAAGATTAGAAGGACAAATTGATTGGCCAGACACTGGTCAGAGCCAGTGCTGATTTCCATTTATTTTGCAGTGATTCATCTGCTGTGTTTGGATACTCTGGAAAAGCCAAAAGATAATGGAAAAAGCATGGGTAAAAATCACTTATTAGCAAGTTATTTAATCTTTGAGACTCTTTGTTCATCTATAAATTTAGAATATGAATATCAACTTTGAAATGTTGCTGTGAAAATTAAATAAAACCATATATGGCAGAATAGGTACCCAAAATTGGTTAATCATGAAAAAGTTAACATCATCAAGATGTAAAATTAGCTGTTGTTGTTGGGGCAGGGCTTGGAGTTGGGGGTTGGATATTAAGATTCTAAACATGTATAATTTTTAATCCGGAAAACCTACCAGATAAAACAAAGATTACAACACCCATGTTTTTAGGGAGACAAAGTGTGACCAACACAGAATTAATTTGTTCAACTTTGATGGAAGGTAAACCCCTTTAGTTCTCACTTTGTTTTTAAGAGTAGGAAAAGATCCAGACTTCTTAATTATGGATTATCCATCTTGTTCTTTGCTTCCTCGGAATCTTTGAGACTCAAGAATATGTGTTCTTTAAGATTAAACACAAAATAACTGAAGAAATTTGGAAACAAACAGAATGTTAAATTATATTTGATAACAAAATTATTGGTTTTGTAAGAAAATATTTTTAGGAGATACATGCTGATACATTCAGTGGTGAAGTTCAATGATGTTTGCAACTTCACTTGGTGAAAAAAATTATATAAAATATATATATTAAAAAATATACATATATAATCATCTTATACATAAAGCAAATATGGCAAATTGTTGTTTAATTTAGATGATAGCTATATGAGTAATGTTTAAAATAGTTAGGTCAGGCTGCATACAGTGGCTTACACTTGTAATCCCAACACTTTGGAAAGCCAATGAGGGAAGATCACTTGAGCGATCTCCCTTTTGCAACATAGCAAGACCTTGTCTCTACAAAAAGTAAAAAGATTAGCCAGGTGTGGTGGCACATACCTGTGGCCCTAGCTACTTGGGAGGGTGAGGCGGGAGGGTCACTTGAGCCTGGGAGTTCAAGGCTGCAGTGAGCCATGATTATACCACTGCATTCCAGCCTGTGTGAAAAAGCAACATCTTGCCTAGAAAAATAAAAAAATAAAACAGTTGCAATTTTTTGTTTTAGAGACAGGGTGTCACTTTGTCATCTAGGCTGGAGTACAGTGGCACAATCACAGCTCACTATAACCTCCTCGAATTCCTGGGCTCAAGTGGTCCTCCCCACCTCAGTCTCCCAAGTAGCACTTTTTTTTTTTGTACAAATGGGGGTCTCACTATGTTGCCCAGGCTGGTCTCAAACTCCTGTCCTCAAGTGATCCTCCTGCCTCAGCCTCCCAAAGCATTGGGATTACAGGCATGAACCACCATGCCCAGCCCCTAAAATAGATTCTAATAAAATATGAGGGGCGGGGGGAACCAAGAGGTTGCATTTAGGGACAATCCCAGGTAGAATTTTGCATCTTTTTCATTTTCCATTCACAGTACAGATGGTTAGGGGAGAGGGTGGTAATGCAGAAAACAACTGATATTAGAGAAGTAACAATAAATTCAGCCACAAGTCAACTAACTGAAAGACAAGTTCAACACAACTTCTGAAACATCCTGTAAGAGTCCAGATGGTGAGAAGTAGTAACTAATATCCATGGTTTCAAGAAAGAATTCTTTTGCCAGGGAGAAACAAACGAGTGGGTGAGAGTATCAGCCGTTCCAATAGGTCTATCAAGAGATTTTATCGGAATATTTAGGAACCACATTCTAAAGATGTTACAAAGGCAATTACAGAAGAAAATGTTATATAGTTCCCTCTGTTCAGAACACACACAATCTTGAGAATAATCCCTCTTCATCTAATAATGAATGCTTATCTGTAAATGAACATATCAATCTTAAGGGGTGAGATAAGAACAAAAAGAATTATGTAGGAAGTAAGCCACAGTCTTATACAATTTGAAGGTGTTTTTAAAGGACTAAAAAGGAAACGAAAGGTTTGTGAGAAGAAGCAAAAAAATTTTTTTAAAGATTTTACATGACCAGAAAACAAATTCAAAAAATTAAAATCTCCCAGGAAACCAAATTAACTCATTTTTTTAGTTAACCTATTAACTAAATGTTTTGCAACATACAAACTGCAAAATATCCTTTGCATCCCTTTAAGAAACACCTGCCTTTCTTTGGTAAAGAATTTCTTGCAGGACAGGATCTAAAGTTTGAAATTCCCTCCAAAGATCCCAGTAGAAATGTTTCTAAGAATGTCCTAAGAGAATGAGCTAAAACACAGAAAATGTTGAAAATCTTATTTAGAATATTAAAAACTGGAAGCAATCTAAATGTCTGACAGTAGAAGAATGATGCATTTATAATGTGAACATACACGTGATGTCCAGCAATTTCAAGTCCAAGTATGAAGAGTAAGCCACAATAAAGAATGTTAAAAAAAATTAGTAAGTAAATATAATTATAAAACAAAGTCAGAAATATGAAAAAAGGGACAATTATATTGGAATGATAAAATTCGATTTCTGTTTCCTGCCTCCTCCCCTGCTGGCTCTATAATTTTTTTTTTTTTTTTTAATTCTCAGAATAGGAAAAAAAAAGAAAAAGCTAAGAATGCCATGGGTGGAAGGCCTTTAGTAAACAAGTACATATAAAGGGTCCTCAAGACAAGTCCTTATATGAGGTATGAGACTAGATGTTATAAGGTAGGTCATTGTTCTCAGGAACTGACTCTGCTATTTTTACCCCAAACGGAAGCCCATACAAACTACCCTATTCTTTCCCTCTATCTAATGAAAGGTCCCAAAAGGTATCCATCCAAGAAGTGCTGCCAATAATAACACTGTTAATTGTGACCAGCCTATAGACATCTTATTTGCTTTTTTAGGCCTGAATTGACATGAAATAAACTACTGTGGAACTCTTTTTGTCTTTTTGTGGGTGTTTTTTGACTGCAAAAGAAAAGTTTGTTAAATTACTTATCTTTTAAAAAACACAATCACAAAATCATATTCATATACTGCTACTGTAGTGTTAGGGACTCCCAAGCCTAGACAAGCTGTTTAATTTAAATATATATATATATATATATGGATGCTTGTTTGAACAACTCAGAAAGCATTTTTCCCCTAGAAATATTACAGTGATAAGGGAGACCAATCTGCCCAGCCAGGCCTCATTTCCACAGTCTCCCTCTAAATTTCCTGGCTCTTTGGGATGCTTCCTATGCTTTTCAGGAGTTTCCCTCACAGGTCTGCAATTTCTATCCTGGAATTATTTATTTATTTATTTATTTATTTAAGCTAGGAAATGTCTTACTAACAAGTTGCTTTATCACCTAAAATCTACCATTATTCATTTTTACAACATAGATAACACCTGATTGACTTAAATTCTTCAAGAAAAAAATCTTGCTTTAACAATCAAAAACTTAAGAACAAAGGGGTAAGAAGATACTGAAATGTACTAATAGTTTGTGTGTTTAAGGACCTCAAACATGAAAGGCAAGATGATAGTTTTTAAAATGTAATAACTCCAAGTCTAAACATGAATGAATTTAAATTTAATCCTTTCTATATGAAACCAAATGGCAGTCTAATACCACTGGGACTAAGTGTTGAAAAACTAAGTAATAAAACAAATACCTGAAACATGATTACAATTTAAATTCTTTGGATGATTTATCTTCTAATCCCCCACATTTAATATAGACATTAAAAACTCTCTAAAATAATACTAAGCACCTTAGTATTATTTAATACTTTTATACCTAAAAAGTTATCCTATTTTTTTAATTTTTTGGAGACAGGGTCTTGCTCTGGGCTCAAGCGATTCTCCCACCTCAGCCTCCCGTGCAGCTGGGACTACAGGGGCACACCACCACACCTGGCCAATTTTTTAATTTTTTGTGGAGACCAGGTCTTACTATCTTGCCCCAGATGAGTCTAGAACTCCTGGACTTAAGTGATCCTCCCACCTCAGCCTCCCAAAATGCTGGGATTACAGGCATGGGCCACCATACCCAGCCTAAGAATACTTTTTGGATTTTCACGGCTGTGAGGAAAGCTTTAGAAAGAAAAAATGGGGTTTAAAAGTTAAGACACAGCTTAAGACAGAAGCATAGTAAAACAGGAACAAATACTGGCTTAAACCTAATGTCTCTAACTATATTCCTCTATTTTAAGAATCTTTTAGTATCTGTTTCAACAGCCTTTCCATTTTCTAATATGTAAACTTTATTCCCACCAAGTCCCAAATAAATGAGTCCTAAGATTTCCTAGAACGTGAACCTCAATTATTATTTTTATTTTACTTTTTGAGACAGAGTCTTGCTCTGTCGCCCAGGCTGGAGTGCAGTGGCGTGATCTCAGCTCACTGTAACCTCCACCACCCGGGTTCAAGCCATTTTCTTGTCTCAGCCTCCCGACTAGCTGGGACTACAGGCTACTACACCACCACGCCCAGCTAATTTTTATATTTTTAGAAGAGACTGAGTTTTACCATATTGGTCCGGCTGGTCTTGAACTCTTGACCTCAGGTGATCCACCCGCCTTGGCCTCCCAAAGTGCTGGGATTACAGGCGTGAGGCACTGTGCCCAGCCGGACCTCAATTATTGTGTCCCTTTTATATATAAGGCAAACATTGGTTTTAACTTCTGTTGAAACGGGAACTTTCACTAGAGTTCTTAGAATGTTCAGAAAAAATGAAGTCTGGAACATACACTAGTCGTATTTGATTCTCTCTGTCCGGGGTTCTTCTCTGTAATGGGAAATAATTTGAATCAAGATGGAACAGTTGATAAGAAGGAAGAACAAACCAGCTAACCAAATAAACAGAAAGGTGTTCTTTCCTTGAAACTCAAGAAAATAGGCAGGAGCCAGCCATAAGGCCTGCCCTATAAACCATAACATTAGGAGAACTACAGCTCTCTTCCAAGGCATTCTTATTCGTGGCATCACAAGGGGCAGTAAGCAGAGGTACCAAAGAAAGTACTGGGAGGTGCAGACTTTGTTAAAAGTCACAAAAATGGACGTATGAAGAAAGCAACAAAAGACGAGGTCTCTGTAATAGGCGAAAGACACAGCTGAAAGCAAGATGAACTGCGGCAGGAACGCTGCAATTCCCAGGGGAAAGCTCCACTTGCTCTCTGCCGTCAAATACAGCATGTAGAAGTACGGAGAAAAGTTGTGACGGATATCCCGCCTAGTCAGGTGATAAAAGTAAGTGTGCTCCAAAAATTCCCAGCCGTACTCATAGTAAAAACCAAGGCCCAGGGCAAAAAACGTGAGTCCAGAAACTGCTACAAACAACAGCACAGCCCGATTACACAGCCTCTTCGGGAGCTCGTACAAACGAGCCTGGAAAGAACACCGGGACTGACGGAGACTTTCGTCATTGTCGCGACCTGGAAGCAGGTGAAGGGTTATGGGAAGGATATAAGTCACCGGATATATCTTCATATGCACCGCGAAACCATAGAATACAGCTGCACACGCAACGAGTCTTTTCGTTATTAAGTATAGGACCATCAGGACCAGGCAGGCGACAATCGAGTCTGCATTACCTCGGCTGGATACTGCCATAGGCAGGGGGTTAAGAAGCCAAAAGACACAGTAGCCACAAGCCTGGCGGCACCCCAGTCCCTTCAGCAGCAGCAGGCGGTACAAGAGGAAAGCGGAGAGGAGGTCGCAGCTGACGAAGAGAAACTTTCCAAAGAGCTCGCTGAGGTAGATGTTGGGAGTGAGGAGCCAACCCAGCAGCGGGGTGTAACGGTAAGTGGCTCTCAGGTAAGGCGAACGCCCCTCCGTGACGAAGCGCGCGGCGTCGGTGAACACCTGATAGTCGATATCCGTATACCTCACGTGCAGGGTCCGGTCCTGGAAGACCCCATAGAAAACCAGGGCGACTCTGGCTAGAAATGCCACACCAAACACGCCGGCGGGGTCCACCCTCAGGTTCAGGAACCATTCGCCCCAATGCTTGGTCGAGCCCATGATCTGACTGTGCGACAGCTGCACAGCCGCAGCTCCAAAATGCCTTAGTACCTGTTCCTTGCCGCAGGTGGTCTCCGCATCTCCCACCTGCTACACTGCCTCCTGAAACAAATGAAAACGATCACTTCCGGCATGAAGCCCCGCCCCCGTGCTGCTACTGGTCGCCAGCCCCGCGCGGGCTTCTCAGTCGTCCCAGCCAAAGACTTGCCTTCCTCTGGAAGGGCGGTCTCTTTTCCCGCTTCTTCTTCCGGCGGAGGCGGGATTTCCTGTCCCTAGGCGGGGAGACATCCGCTTGCCAGCAAATCCGGCACTGGCGTGAGAATTTTATGGAGCTGAGTCCTATCTCTACCTAACATACAAAAAAAATAGCTGGGTATGGTGGTGCACGCCTGTAATCCCAGCTACTCAGGAGGCTGAGGCAGGAAGGAGAAGCACTTGAACCCAGGAGGCGGAGGTTGCAGTGAGCCGAGATCGCACCACTACAGAGAGTAGTTGTGGGAACGAAGAATAGAGTGTAGTCTGTAAAACAAATTGGACAGAAAGGCCCAACTTTAGTTACTATTTCTGGGTGGAAGAGAAACATCACAGGGTCTAAGGAACTTTTTGCATTGGGTTTACGGATTGTATCTTTTCATCTCCTTCAGAAAGGGCTACATGTATTCAAGTGCTCAACCGTTCATTATTACCTCTTGGACTATTACTTACAAACCTTCCTAATTCCACCTTTCACTATCTCCTCCTAGATTTCCATCCTTTTAGAGCCAATGACTAGGGAAAGCACAAACATGGGTGGCTCAACCCTAGTTTCCTAGCAGGAACCTTGTCCTTGTTCACTGTGCTACATATACTCTCATTAGCCTTCTGTATCCACTATTCGTCTCTTTTTGCCCTGTTCTGCGTTCCAAGAGGTTAAACTCTATGGGTAGCATTCTGAGTCTCCCTTGTTCGCTGGCTTCCCATTAGAATAGACCAGTGGGAGGCACTGGCAGATCTTTGGCTGTGTCTGAGTTCCTCACCTAAAGCCATGGCTCCTGTTGAAGCTATAGCTCCTTCCGTTGGGTGCTAGTCTTCTGGTTCCAGTAACTGTCCCCAGGTTTAGGGCTGGTAAAAGCTTCCACTTTGTGAGTGCCTGGGTACATCACCATATCTTGCTGATGTATTAAGCTTACTCATACCTTTGCAAATAATTCCTTAATTAAAACATGTCCCTTGGCCATCTGTCTCCTGCTAGAATCTTGACTACTTTAATCACTTTCTTTTTCACTAGATTTTGTTTATATATCTTCCTTTGTCATTTCTTTGGAATCTGTTTCTAATTCTTTCCATGCCCAGCATCCTGAACCTTAGTCCAGACCTTCAACCAACTCAACTAATAGGTGGCAAACACCTACACTGTACTAGGATCTGTGGCAATTGCCTTTCCCTCAAGCTTTAAAAATCTTTTAACTGATTTAATGTTTTCTGTCTCAATTCTAGTGCCAAATTGTTATTAATTAATAGTATTTTACTTAGATTCTTTCCTCCATCAAACATCTTCCATGGTTCACAACTGCCTAAAGAAAAAAATAATGAACTCTTTTGCCTGACATTCAGTCCCACCATTTTCTGGCTTTAACTTACCTTTCCAACCTATTTGCCTATAAAGCCCTCTGTTTTAGGTTTACCATTCCCAAAATATGTCTTATGCTTTCTTCCCATGATACTTTGTTCATACCGTCCTTCCTACAAAGAGTGCTTTCTCTTGACTTAAATGCTATTTGGTTTTTCAATGCTGAACTCAAGCCTCAACTCCTCTGTAAACTCTTCCTAGACTTTAACAAGTGAAATAGTCTCTCTCTCCTCAAAAGGAGGTAATGTTTATTTCGTCTGTTCTATTTTTTAACAGTAATTATATCATGCCGTTATCTAAGTCTTTTATAGTTAGTTCACAAAACATACACGCTCCACTGCATACTTTAGGCCAGTTCTTTCTCTCCTTTCTTTCTTTCCCTCATGCTAGTTTATCAAGCATCATACATGACAGGCACTATGTGGGGTGCTGGGCTGTACTCGTGACCAAACACTTGACATGAATCCCATTCACGTGACACTTGAAGTCTAGTAAGCTACTTAGACATTAGTCAAATAAATTCACAAGTAATACACAATTGCAGCTGGGGTAGGTGCTCTAGCTTTTAAGGGGATTTATTTGATCTCAGATGGGCATAGTAAGAGTTAAGAAGGTTGGCCGGGTGAGGTGGCTCATGCCTGTAATCCCAGGACTTTGGGAGGCTGATGTGGGTGAATCACCTGAAGTCAGGAGTTCAAGACCAGCTTGACCAATAAGGTGAAGCCCCATCTCTACTAAAGTTACAAAAATTAGCCAGGCATGTTGGCATGCGCCTGTAGTCTCAGCTACTCAAGAGGCTGGGTCAGGAGAACCGCTTGAACCTCGGAGGTGGAGGTTGCAGTGAGCCAAGATCACACCACTGCACTCCAGCCTGGGTGACAAAACAAGACTGTCTCAAAAAAAAAAAGAAGAAGGTTGGAAAGTGGCAGGTAGTGGGGAGAGTTCCACAAAAGGAATAGCAGGTGGAAAACCCCATGATTGTACATCCCTTGATGCATGCATTATGTCTTACATTGCTTCGTTAGCTGAGTGATGCCTTCCACATAATAGGGACTCAGTGTTTGCTGATTTTTCTTGAATCTTATGTCAAATGTATTCTAACCAAACCTCTTAGATTGATACCATCCCTTGCCTACTTCCTGTTCCTGTGAAATGTTTCCCATAGAGATCTCACTCTTTTTAGAACATTCTGCTAATATTCTAAATGTTATATCTGGCATTAGTACATGGTACCTGCTATTGCTTTTAGTTATATTTGTTATATGCTGCTTGTTTTATTTCTCTTCCCTTACAAGTTTGTAGGTTTCTTTAACATTTTTTTCCTGTTGCCCAGCCTGCAGTGCAATAGCGCAATCTCAGCTCACCATAACCTCCACCTCCCAGGTTCAAGCAATTCTCCTGCCTCAGCCTCCCAAGTAACTGGGATTACAGGCATGCACCATCATGCCTGGCTAATTTTGTATTTTTAGTAGAAAAGGGTTTCTCCCATGTTGGTCAGGCTGGTCTTGAACTCCTGACCTCAGGTTATCTGCCCACCTGAGCCTCCCAAAGTGCTGGGATTACAGGTATGAGCCACAGTGCTCAGCTCTTTAACCTTTTAGGCCTTTTAGAAACTATACATGTCCTTTATCTTACGTATCTCATATGTCTTAGGATTCATTCCTAGTATTTCCTAAATGTTGTACTTAAGTATTTATTGATAATGATAAGAGACCAAATTTTCTCCCTCCTTCTATCTCTCTCCCTCTACTTCTGGGGAACAAGAATCAGTGACCGTAGGATCTGTTGCCTCTCAACAGAGAAAATTCAGGGCTGGCTATTAACAACCAGACCTTTCTCAGGCTACTGACAAACAAGGGTAGAAGAGAAATCCATTTCTTTGAGACTTAGGAGAAAAAATGCTGGTAATTAAAGGAATAAGCTTACAAAGAACCTTGAGGATATATAAGGAAAACTGACAACAAGACTACATGGTAGCATGGAAGGGAAATTGGGCCTGTGATCACTGGACAAAAGGGACGATGCCCAGGATCCAAAGCATCTTGACTTTTATGGATTAAGCTGAGCCAGTTTTCAGATTCCTGGGTCTTAACTGTGAAAGGAACTCGCTAAAGCATGAGAGAAAAATTTTAAACAGAAGAGGCTGGGCCATGCAGTCAGAAATTCTTCCAGCACAGCCTAATTCAACCCTCCACTCCCATGGGTAGACCTAGGAGTTCAGACCTCGACAGTATTGGTTTAGATTTCTAAAAGAAGCTAGAGTGACAACAAAAGAGTCATCCATTTTATTTAGTAGCTTATTAACAGACCAAAACAAAAGAAAACAAATCTTACACGCCTTTTTTTCCTAGATAAATTTGACCTGGGTTAGTCTTTAGTGCAATGAATGGAAAACTATCCATGACTCCTTCTGCATCAGTAGAATTGGCCATTACTGAGCCTGGAGGGCCACGCTAACCTTCCAGCAAAGGTAGTGTGTTACTTTACCAGTGAACAAGGTTAGCTAGCAAGAGTGAAGGACCAGGGCAGCAGCCGTGGGGAGGGGACAGTGTCCCTGACTTGTAGCAATAGTATAACTGGCTTCCTTTCTCTGCTCAGACCTTATAGGGAAACTCCTGGATGATCTTATTAGGCTGACAGGGGTTGGGGGAATAATGGAGTGAAGCATATTGTAGCAATTTCGGAAGCTTCTCATGGAACACCACCATCTCCTAGAGCAGCTAGTAACCCCACTCCTCATTTTCATTCAGAAGCATCAAAACCAAAGCGTCACCCTCCATGCCCAAATGGCAGGATTAGAACTCTTCTGGAATTCATGGCTTTCTCTTCGGGCTGCTTGCAGCCACACAAAAGACTGGGCCTCGGCCTTGGGAGATCGTAGGCCCAGCAGCTCTTCAGTCTTGGCATTTTGGATTCCAGGGTTGAGGCTTCCCTTTAGTGCCTCCCATACACCAAGGTGTTCGGCTCCTCAGTTTAATTCCAGGGGTGAGCAATAGCGGCTCCCACCCCTGTGGAAAACAGGGAAATACAGTGTACTTCATGAAAGGGAAACAAAAGGGTGCTTTATTTTATTTTATTATTTTAAAAAGGTACTGCAGTGGCAGGACGCTGCTGGGGATGGGGGCACACAGTGTAAGTGGTAGATTTTCCAAGATTTCCCCTCCCTGTTGTCCTCTTAGTTCTCTCCTCCCTGGTCCTATCAGTAGTGTAGGATTCAACAAAAGCCTTCATGAATGCCTCTTTATTTCCGAAAAGGAACTTCCACCCCTCCCTTTCCCATTCCCAGACTTGAAATCCTTCATCAGCTATATCACTTCCATCTTGAAACCAGGACCACTGATTGTAAGTCTGAAAATCTGAGTGTCCTACCCCATAACCAGGGCAAGATATCTGCCCCTGTTGCTAAAGTCTTTGAATATTTCCCTTCTGTACATTCAATATATTTGGGCATATATACATCTATATACATCTTTCTATATATATATATTATCTCTGTTTCTTTCTTAGATAAACCTTTCATATGTGTCATATCCTAATTCCCCAAGCCTCCCTGCTTCTTGTTTGTGAGCCTAAGCAAGACTCAAGAGTTCATTGATTTCACTAGGTCCTTCAGCATCATTTTTTTCTCGTCACACTCCTGGTATCTTCC